GGGCGGGGGGGGGGGGGACAGACAGGCTGCACACTTTTTACACATGATCGCGGCGCCATCGCCGCGATCACTTGTAATCGAACAAGCGGCTTCCCCACACTACATTTAGTCCTGCCTTCCCAAAGGAGGACTAAATGTAGAAGGCAACTTACCGCCTGTCGGGGGATTCCACACCGCTGCCGCCCCAAGGCTTGGCCTCGGTGGCCTTGTGGGGAATCTGGCCCTGATTGTACGCATGAATGCCCCAGAACGATGATAAATTAACCATATACAGTTCCCACAAAACTGAGTACACTTGTCAGTCACCTCCTTTAACAAACTCCTCAAGGGTGCTGTATAAATGTAGAGCAATGGTCGGAAATTCAATTGAATACATACATCAAGGGATTATGAACCAGTTCAGGTGATATAAGATAGTTGTAATAAGACTTAAAGATAAACTTTATTCATATCTTCAAAATAACAACAAAGGAACCTTTAGAAATGTTTAGTTATGACAATCTACAAACACATAAGTCTAGATAATTGCAGGATTTTTATTTTTTGCACACCTTATTTTTCTTTTCTTCCCCAGTCTTCTGAGAGTGGCCATTTTAACTAAGGGCAGCTGTCTAGATTTCCCTTTACTTCCTGGAACGGTGGCATATGTAACTAGGACATGTGACCATGATTTCTCAGCAATGCTCTGCTGATGTAACCTTCCCAGGATGCAACGCTTCGGCACAGATTACATAATTTGTGCCAAGGTGCACCAGGAAGTGGAAAAAATAAATTGTAAGATGATTTCATATCAGCATGCAGTGCTGTATGCTGGTGTGATTTTTAGTGAAAGGGGGTAAAGGTCCACTTTAAACAAAATATACTGGTACCATAGACCCATAAGTCTATGCTAAATGCACATATTTTCCATTTCTTGCAAAAATGGAAAGTAGGCTGGGTATAAGGTAAATCTCTATTGGGCATAAATGGTATTTCGCTTCCATTCTGTGAAGGACACAGCAGAGATCTTGATCTCTGTACCTATCGGTTATACCTCCACTTGCAGTTGTAGGACGCGAGGCACAAAAAAACCTTGGCTCTGGGGGCAGCTCCTTCTGGTGGTGGTGGTGGCAACACCCCCATCCAAGGCAACTCAGTTTTTGCCTAGTGTCAAGGAGTAAGGACCTATCTCCCAGCTAGGGATCTATGTTTTCGATTTTTTTTTTGTTCCCGCCTCTCGGTAGACAATGCTTTGTGATCAAGGTCTTCACTGTGTCCTACAATGAATGGAAGAGAAAATAGGATTTTTTTGTACTCACTGTAAAATCCTTGTCTCTGTGTTCATTGAAGAACACAACACCCTCCCTTCCTTGGGTCGTTTTGTGCCTTAGTTCCATTGCTTTGTGACTAACAGAGCTACCTTGGATGGGGGTGTGGCCAACAGCAGGAGCCAACCACAGAGTCAAGCTTTGTTTTTTGTGCCTAGCGCCCTACTGCTGCAAGTGGCGGTATAACCCATCGGTACAAAGATCAGGATCTACACTGTGTCCTTCAATGAACGCAGAGAAAAGGATTTTACGGTGAGCACAAAACAATTCTATTTTAATTGATGTCTGCATGCTCACTGTAAATTCTGGATTGTGTAAAATAAAGGGTAAGGGGTCCAAAGTTAAAGTAACTTCTAAGGTTGAGATAGGTAAATCACTAGGTCTGAACTCAGAAGTGAAAATGCATATTGTAAAATAGCAGCACACAGTCCAGTGCTCCAGGAGGATGTATCAAATTCTGCCCACTCACTGCGCTTTAGTTCTTCACAAGGTCAGGCAGTGAACCAGACTTCCACTGGGAATAGTCTTCAGCACATGCAAGAAAAAGAATGAAACAAGGACGGTGCCTTGTCCTCATGAAATATGTTTTTTTTAAAACAGCCAAAGGATAAGTAAGAAAAAGATAGGATAAGCCTACTTACTATTCTCTGAAGAAGGGGGTGCGCCCCCAAAACGTGTTAGAATTAATCTAGCTGGTGGGTCCAGCATAGAGTAGTACAGCCATGGGTGGTCTATCAGTCGTCCTATATTGGGGTAAGGACCATTTTAATAAGAAGGAGAGAGACTGATACAGTATGAATTTTCTGAGTAGTTTTTTATTAATCCTTTGGCTGTTTTCAATAAATGTATTTCAGGAGGACAAGGCACTGTCCTTGTTTCATCCTTCCAAATGTGAAAATGTGCTATATTATAGGTGTAATGACCCTGCCAAAGTGGGAGTGCTACTAGTCTAAATCTAGTGGGTAGCTAGGCTGTAAGCAGCCTGAGCTCTGATTGTTATTGTTTTCTGCATTTGTTGTGTTTTCCCCAAAGTCTAGGGCATTGTTTGCTTCTGCATGTTGTTATGGAGTGTTCTCCAGCAGCTAGAGCAAGAGGATACAATGTTGCAGGTTATGAATATTTACTTAATTCTGGCCACTCACTAGGAGATCTATTGCCAGTTATGTGGCATGAGGAAGGAGATACATTTTCAGGGTAAGGAGCCCTTTTAAGCCCCCTAGGCCTGCTGTCTAGAAAAGGGGGGGCAGTTTCAGAACTAAAAATTACGAATGGGTCTATATTAAGACCTATATTAAGACCTGGAAGACAGGAAGGTGGCTTCCAAAGGGGGCACCTTCAGACAAGCTTGCTCAGTCCATTGTTAGTCTCAGCTTATAGGCACACTACTGGCCCGTGCAAGGGGCTGAAGGTATTTGAGAGAATCCTAGTGTTTTGGGTATCCTGTAAACCCTACCCATCTCTCCACTGATACAAAAAATCCTGCAAGCAAAGATAGTCAGAGGGGATATCAGTCATTCGGTCACCTTTGATGTGTCAGTAAGTGCTTTGAAGCAGCTGCAGGCCAGATTACTAATATAAATACATAACATCCAGCAGGTCTTTTGGGGATGAGCAGTATATAGGTAAAGCACATCAGGGTATCTTAAGACTGGGTATGCAAGATGAGGGTAACAGATTTAATAATATTGTCCCGGGCCTCTCTTCTTTGAATATAACTGAGTTGGCAAGTTCAAGGCAGACAATCAAGGGCTACATTGGTTCAGGATTATAATTTTAACAATAAATGCTATGTTATTATTATTATTATTAACCAAAATAGGTCCCTTCTTTACCAAAAAAATTGACTTCTAAAGCCTTGGTAGGAAAATTTAGAAAAATGTCATGAAATCTTTAATTTTATATAGGAGCTAACTTACCACCAAAGATCTTATAGAAATAGACTGTTAGGCCTTCAAGACTTAGAATTTCCCCATTTGAAGAAAATTAAAGGATTGAAAGAAATTTTTATTAATTTATTTATTAATTAATTTTTTTATTAAAATGTTTTATTTTTTACATTATGTTTAGGGGCTCTGGGAAATATTGGGGGTCTAAACAGTCCCCTGATATTTCCCTTTTAAAATAGAAAATGAGATTGAGAACACAGAGTCCTCAATCTCTTTTTCTGTGTCCCCTGTTATCAATAAACAGGAATCCTCTATGAGTGTTTCTGTTCATTGATAACATGACATGACATGACATGACATAGTGTGTTTAGTATAACCACAACTATGAATGAACAGGAGGTGATGTAGATCACTCCCATTCATTCATAATTGAGGATATAGTACACATACCATGTCCTCAATTATTTACAAACACTCAGCGATCACTGATCACTGAGTGTTTGTACCTTGCTCTTCTCTCTGACACGCGGTCACAGGAGGCTGAGCGAGCGGTGCGGGGAGGAGAGCTCAGCCTCCTGTGACTGTGCGGGCTGTCTCCGCCCACACACTTTGATAGGAGGCTGAGCGGTGTGGGAGGAGACGCCGTATAATTTTTCATACGAACGGTTGTGTAAAAATCTACCCATGTATACCCTACGTAAGTATAGAGAGAAATTTTCAGTGTTACAGATGTTTGAATAAACAGAGGTATTCATTTTGCTGATTGTGTAAGATAGGCTTAATGCATAATTATGAATTACTTAAAGATTGTACGTCTTTACATTTAAGTATATGTATGTCATACTTTACGCAATAAATAAATTTAAAAAAATCATAGTATACTTATATCGAATATTATGATGTTGTTT